TTTCATTGAGGGCCATGCCCCACCAGTCCCCATTTGCCGAACAGCTCAGAAACTCGATTAATAGTTAGATTCATCACTGTATTCCTGTTCTATCGAAAATAGATTAGCTGATAGCTTCCAACCCTTTATTCTGTCAAGTTCGTGAGCTTGGGCCCTTCGCCACCGTTCACTTTGCCTAGTCTGTCGTACGGTAAAGTAACCTGGACATGCCGTTCACCACTATATTTTCCCCACTTATCTCCCATTTTTACGTCTTCCAATCCTGTCAATTTATTTTGTGCGATTTTAAGTTACGTAGTAGCTGCTGGTCTCCAGAAACGGAGCCTGTGAACACCTAACGAATTCATTTTAAAGCCTCGCTTGTTACCTTCTTCATTTTTGCGTAGATTGCAACGAGCGAAACACTTACCAGCCATGTTAGGGATTATTTACCTTAAGAGATACTATAAAGTACATTTTTAGGTGTAACCTAGATGTAACCTTCGAGTAATGAGTGCGAATTTCCATTTCTTTTCAGGACAACAATAGCAACGTTCTGAAAATGGACACCGATGAAGCCCTGCCACCTACCCCGATTTCCCAACAGTCCGGTAACAGCGGAACACTAGCTGCCGTTGTAGACACGATTATGGGCCAGAGTGCAGAATCTCAGTCCGATGACAAAAAACTGGAGGCAGATTACGAACCCGAATTTCTGCAAAGCGTCCTCGAGACTCTGCCAGGTGTTGATCCGCAGCACGAAGACGTCCGAAAAGCCATCGAGTCCCTAACCGGAAAGCCGGTCAAACCGTCCGAAAAGAAGGAGCCGCCTGAAAGTGGGGAGGGACAGCACTAGGTGCAGTTCACCGAATCCGGTGGGAGGGACTAAGAAGAAAAGACTACTTAACACTGCAGTCGCCATGTTTCTGTACGATTAATCACACTTGCCCGACTCTTTATTTTATCTGTCAAGCTTAGATGCGGTTCCGGCACTACCTTTTCCCATGTGTGTGGTCTGTGGCTGGTAATGATTTGGTTCGAAGACGTCTTGTGATACCTAGCAGTGTAAAAATTGGCGATCCTCTACTTGTAGAACTTTGCAGCATATTTGTCAAGTGAAAAATCCATTTATGCTTTTTACCGCTTTGTCGAAAATTTCGGTGCGATTTTCGACAAGCTAATTAGTACTGTAAAAGTGAAGGTTGTGGAAGAACTTGGCAACTTGTACTTGCACTTGTTACGGCTGCGATCATGACTGATCTAGCCGGCCTCAATTATGTCCCGTATGGTGCTTCTCCACGCGCGACGGTCCGTGGCCGCAGACCTGGAGAGTTCGACCCATTCTTTTCGCCAACGCCGGAGACCGAATACTGAAGGTCCAAGAACCACTTCCATGTCCTAACGGACTGAGTCGAGCCAGGTTTTGTGTTGACCCCCTTTTCGACT